TCTCTCTGTCTCTCTCTCTCTCTCTCTCTCTCTCTCTCTCCTTGAAAGATTATATTTTCTCATCCCTTTTCTTACTCTTTCTATTTTTCTTGCTGTGATGATTTATTGATCTTTCTAACCTCCTCTTCGGAAATGAGGGCATAAATATGTCTTTCTCAAATGCCCCCGAATTCATCTCGTACGCCTTTGATTTTATGTGCTGTCATATTCCCCATACATATTTAGTTTCATAAAAAAATGTGTAATGCATAATTTAACCTTTTATCTTCTGGAACAGGCGGGACATGAGGAGACAAAGCGATAACCGGAGGCGAACAATTGGTACCCAGTCATCTGTATTGTGCGCAGACGTGACGATATTTCGAGAGCCGCGATGCTGTCGACATAATCTTCCACTTAGATCTCCGAAAATCTTATGAGATGACGTCACTTACCCACATATTTCAGGACGCACCATGAGGACGTATCCTTGTATCGCAGCATTCAGCTTTGTGGTTTTATTACTCATACAAGGTGAGTAGATCAAACTGTTGTGACAGCCCCTCCCCTCAACCCCCCCCCCCCCCCCCCCCACCCCCCCCCCCCCCCACACACACGCACTTTCCCTTGCGCCCCTATGATTAAGGGTATTTGTTTCCTATAGTGGTGAGTGTACAATCTAGATTCGTTGAAATGGAATAGGATTGAAGCTTGAGCCTATCTCTGTATGGATATAAACGAAACGAAAACGGCTGGGAGGATAACAAATTATAACATGATTTGAAAAACAAAATTAAAAACTATCTGAGCTGAATTCCATGATTCTGTGCGCAGCGCCAGCAAAGGGTATTCAATATATTCCAGGTTTTCCGAGTATGAATCAATACCGTAGCGGAAACTTCTTCTTTTACTTTATGTGACATCACTCGCGGGAGAAGCGTGTTACTCCTGAATGAAGATATCGCAGAGTTTTAAAAGCATAGTCGGTGTCGTTGGCTATAACGTGTATGCTACAAGATCGTTCACACTCTAAACAAAGAGTCATTGACAATCCTCGGGCAAAATTATAAATAACGCCAGTGACGCTGATGAAAACGTTTTCTTTTAAATTTTGTTTCTTGATCTTCTTGTTTTGGGAGGATTTTTTGTTTGTTTATCATGTAAATATTTAAGCACAATCGTTGTTCCTACTTTTTGTATAGAATTAAGTCATTTGCTTTAAAAAACAGGATCGAAAGCGTATTAATATAGACGGCACTTACAGCGTTTCTGGTGTCCTTTTAGAATTAGAAATAGAAGAGCAAGCCATTTAAAAAATTCATTTTGTAAATTCTAAATGGTCTAAAGGGGAAATAAAATACAATTTATTAAACAGTGTAGCCGTTAGTCGTACATTTCATTGTTGTGCAGTGCCTTTCAAAACACGACACAGAATGCTCCTAGAACAGTTCCTATAGCTTCTCTTTAAAACAAAAGTCGAATGAAATATACCCCCTTAATAAAACGCGGTACGGAGACAACTTATCTAGATTTTTTTAATGACATTGCATGGATTCAAGCCACGGTTGCCCGCGCCATACTCAAGTGCTTAGCCAATTGAATTGTCCGGCCACTCGAGAACGCCTCGAAAACTGTTAACAAGAGCTCGTGTCTTTCGAAAGACACTTTCTCCAAACCACAAGCTGGAGCTTTCCAAAACAAGTAATGCCATCTGAGTGGTTCGCTGACCAGCCAACAGTTTCCCGTCGCCTTTCGGTCATATCGACTTGTACTGTCTACTCAGACAACTGACCCGTGTGCTCTCGCAGGGAACTCACTTTTCCGACTTGTCGGATCTGCACAGTTCGGTTCGGGAAGAAAACCGGATAAGAAAGACACAGAACCATCGACCAGTGAAATTGATCAAGCATTAATTTTAGGACTGGTAATTAGACATCCAGGACTTGAGCCTTGGGATCTCTCGCTGGCCGTCGTCTCCATGCCTAACACATTAAACATTTTACAAACATAAATATTATGTACATATGTGAGTCAGCGTGTTGGAATCAGGCTCTCGTCAAAATAATGAAATCGAAGAAAACAGCAGTTTTCTCCCTGCTAAGCAAATTTGATCAAATTTTTGTTTTTTGGCTCAACACTTTTTATGTCCCTTTACAAACACATTCCTTTGAGGATTTCACCGAAAACGTTGATTAAAGGAACAAAAATATAAATTTACAGTTTCCATGGACTCTCCAGCTTTGGAATTTACCAAGTTTGGCAGCCACTTTCTCGCAAATTTTACCTCTTAAATCTGGTGACCCCCACCTCCTTCAATCCAAAATATCTCCACTTCTATAGAAGATGGATGGGTAATTTTTTCATTGAAAGCAAGACAAATGAACAAGCTTTAAGATTTTACCAATAACTCAATATGTTCAAAAATTGACGAGAGCCTGATTCCACCACGCTGCCTCACATATTATTATCATGCTCATACTTATATAAATATCTCGTATATAAATAAATAAATAAATAAATACACTATCCAAAGTTTCAACACGTGAATCATATAATGTCTTAGTGGCATCAAGTGTTAAAAAAAAGGTTATGAGAATGGTCGACTCCAATACAGTATACAAACTGCAAAATCGGACAAGCGTGCACCGACATAAGCGCTAAAACGCCCATCTGTCAATGGGCTTCACGGGTATGCCAGGGGTCAGTCTCGTGGGTAGAATTTCAATCTGCACCGCCTTCGTTATTGCTTGATTATTCCTGGAAGTTGGTTCTCCACTCACTCTTCGACATGACCAATATTAATCATTTCTCCGTCCTACTCTCCTCCTCCATCTCTCTCTCACTCTCTCTCTCTCTCTCTCT